TTATTCAAGATATTAAAACCACAATCCCGGGCGCACAAAATAGTCCCGTGGTCGTATTTGGTGGCAGTTATGGCGGTATGCTGTCCGCGGCGTTTAGACTCAAGTACCCGGGGCTCAGTGTGGGTGCAATAGCGGCGAGTGCGCCAGTACTAGGCGTGGAGGGTCTGGCCAAAAGTTGCGACGCCTACTCAAGGCTGGAAACCAAAGATTTTACAGACTATTCTGCAAACTGTTCGCAAACCGTTAGGAATTCGTGGGAAGCGCTCTTCCGTATAGCCGGCACAGCCGACGGGCGCCAGTGGTTGACCAACGAGTTTAAACTGTGCAAAGAGTTGGCCGCCGGCGAGGAGATCCGCGTATTTCAGTGGCTGATGGTGGCCTGGTCTCACGTGGCCATGGTTGACTACCCAAACGAGGCCAATTTATTCTCCGAATTACCCGCGTATCCATTGCGCGAAATGTGCAAACATATGACAAATCCGGGCGCCGATGACCGGGGGCTGCTTAGCCAGGTGTATGAGGCGGCCAACCTGTTTTATAATTATAAGGGTTTATCAAAATGCAACGATTTAAACCCAAATGGACCCGTCGACCCCACTGCCTGGGGCTTTCAGGTATTGTTTTAATGCATTTTATTACAACAAAATGATATTATTAATTATTACTTACATTAATGAGTTTATATTGTTTTACGACAAAAGTCTTGCACCGATATAGTCATGCCTTTTTGCACCAATGGCAAGACTGATATGATTGAACCGTTCGGCTATGACTTTAAAGCATACTCTGACCAATGCTTTAGTCAGTATGGCGTCCGTCCGGACCCGAGAAAAGCTATGATGTTATGGGAGAAGCGGTCCCTCCGGAGGGCAACAAACTTGATATTTAGTAACGGTTTGCGCGATCCTCACAGTAGTAACGGAGTATTGGACTCATTGTCCGATTCGGTGATAGCGTTGACGATCAGTCACGGCTGTCATCACGAAGACCTCCGGCCCGCAGGCGTTAACGACACACAAGAACTCATTAATGTTCGCAATCAAGAGAAACAATATATGAAACAATGGATTGAAGAGCACTACACAAAATTGAATCACTTTCCTAATGAATGGCTTAACTAATTAAATATAAAAATTAAATAAGATACAAATGCTTCATTTATTTAACAGTAAATAAATTATTAATTTTTATAAACATGTATTTAATGTATGTTTAAATGGAATATTTTAAAATGTAATTTTAAATAAAGTTATTTGAAATATTCTATGAATCTTGATTTTCAAAAAAGTAACAAAAACTTTCTTATAACGATTAAAATATAAACTATCACTTTTTTATATAAATAAATTTTATTTTGTCTTAATTTCTTTTATTATGGTGAGTCGTAAAATGTTTTTCGTTAATACAAAACATTTTTCAAAATTCTATTTTTTACATTATTAATTTTGAACATATTTTTATAAGAGAGATGGCAAATAATTGCAAATATCGCAAATAATTGATTAAGGTACTTACAGTATTGACATTTAGAGCAGCAATTTCAAACTTTGAAGTGCACTAGAGTAGTTATCAATTTTATCAGCATTTTATTTTCTTATATAAATAATACAAATATTGATATATTTCTTGTAATTAGTTATCGATATAATTTTTGTTATAGCAATAAATTAATTAACTAATAAATAATGCTAAATTTAAAAACTAGTCTTATTGTAATAGTTGTGCAAATCTTATGCTTTGAATATTGTTTGTCGGGATTTGTAGTCAGACCGCCTATAAGTCCCTTAGCATCAAATGGGACACCAATTCCGGCCAACTTTTCTGTTAAATATTATACACAACTAATCGATCACTTTAATTATATTAATACCAATCAATTCAAACAACGNACAAATTCATTGCCCGAAATTGTTTGGCATTTTCCCACATAAATCCTGTGTTGTTGGCAAACATGAATATATCGCCCTCATTGCCGGTGTAGTAAAATATGGGACACCCATCGCACCAGTGGTCGGTCGATATAATATACCGTTGTTTGAATTGATTGGTATTAATATAATTAAAGTGATCGATTAGTTGTGTATAATATTTAACAGAAAAGTTGGCCGGAATTGGTGTCCCATTTGATGCTAAGGGACTTATAGGCGGTCTGACTATAAATCGCGACAAACAATATTCAAAGCATAAGATTTGCACAACTATTACAATAAAACTAGTTTTTAAATCTAGCATTATTTATTAGTTAATTAATTTCTTGTAATAACAAAAATTCTATTGATAACTAATTCAAATATATCAATATTTGTATTGTTTATATAAGAAAATAAAATGCTGATAAAATTGATAACTAGTGCATTATAAAGTTTGAAATTGCAGCTCTAAATGTCAAACTGTACAGAACCTTAATCAATCATTTGCGATACAATAGCCATCTCTCTTATAAAAATGTGTTCAAAATTAACAATGTAAAATTTAATAGAATTATAATATTTAATGTTCTGTATTAATTAAAAAATCGTTTCGTGTATTGTAATGTTTAATTATTTAATAACAATTAACCCGACGACTCACCATAATAAAAAGAAAATTAAGACAAAATAAAATTTTCTTAATTGCTAAGTTATTTATATGAGAAAGGGATAGGTTATATTATAATCTTTATAAGAAAGTTTTTGTTAATTTTTTAAAAATCAAGATTCATAGACTATTTCAAATAACAAATTTATTAAAAATTATATTTTAAAATATTCCGTTTAAACAAACATTAAATACATGTTTATAAAAATAAATAATTAAGTTACTTTTAAATAAAAGAAGCATTTGCATCTTGTTTAATTTTTATATTAAATTAGTTAAGCCATTCATTAGGAAAGTAATTCAATGTTGTGTAGTGCTCTTCAATCCATTGTTTCATATATTGTTTCTCTTGATTGCGGACATTAATGAGCTCTTGTGTGTCGTTAACGCCTGCGGGCCGGAGGTCTTCGTGATGACAGCCGTGACTGATCTTCAACGCTATCACCGAATCGGACAATGAGTCCAATACTCCGTTACTACTGTGAGGGTCTCGCAAACCGTTACTAAATATCAAATTTGTTGCCCTCCGGAGGGACTGCTTTTCCCATAACATCATAGCTTTTCTCGGGTCCGGACGGACGCCATACTGACTAAAGCATTGGTCGGAGTATGCCTTAAAGTCATAGCCGAACGGTTCAATCATATCAGTCTTGCCATTGGTGCAGAAAGGCATCACTATATCGGTGCAAGACTTTTGTCGCAAAATAATATAAACTCATTAATGTAAGTAATTAATAATATCATTTTGTTGTAATAAAATGCATTAAAATGCTTACCTGAAAGCCCCAGGCAGTGGGGTCGACGGGTCCATTTGGGTTTAAATCGTTGCATTTTGATAGACCCTTATAGTTATAAAACACGTTGGCCGCCTCATACACCTGGCTAAGCAGCCCCCGGTCATCGGCGCCCGGATTTGTCATATGTTTGCACATTTCGCGCAATGGATACGCGGGTAATTCGGAGAATAAATTGGCCTCGTTTGAGTAATCAACCATGGCCACGTGAGACCAGGCCACCATCAGCCACTGAAATATCCGGATCTCCTCGCCGGCGGCCAACTCTTTGCATAGTTTAAATTCGTTGGTCAACCACTTTCGTCCGTCGGCTGTGCCGGCTATACGGAAGAGGGCTTCCCATGAATTTCTAACAGTTTGCGAACAGTTTGGAGAATATTCTGTGAAATCTTTGGTCTCCAGCTTTGAGTAGGCGTCGCAACTTTTGGCCAGACCCTCCACCCCTAATACTGGCGCACTCGCCGCTATCGCACCCACACTGAGCCCCGGGTACTTGAGTCTAAACGCCGCGGACAGCATACCGCCATAACTGCCACCAAATACGACCACGGGACTATTTTGTGCGCCCGGGATTGTGGTTTTAATATCTTGAATAAAGTCTGCGAAATCGGCCAAAGCCTACAAAATATTTTTTTGCAAACTGTTATTAAATCCTAATTTTTAAAATAAAATAATGTCTTTTTTACGGCACATATAATTACGGTACGTAAAAATTGCATACGTGTAAAATAATAATAATAAATACCTGATCAACTGATAGATAACCGATTTTGGTTAAATTTTTATCAACCTTCCCAAATGGCACAGACTCTCCATAGTATCTGTGCTCCAGAAATACAACCATTGCCCGGAATTGTTTGGCACTTTCCCATAGAAAGCCATGTATTCTGGCCAATAGTAATATATCGCCCTCATTGCCGGCGTAAAAAAATATGGGACACCCGTCGCACCAGTGGTCGGTTGATATGACATACCGTTGCCTGAATTGATTGTTATTAATATAATTAAAGTGATCGATTAGTTGTGAATAATATTTAATTGAATAGTTGGCCGGAATTGGTGTCTCATTTGATGCTAAGGGACTTATAGGCGGTCTGACTATAAATTGCGACAAACAATATTCAAAGCATAAGATTTGCACAACTATTACAATAAAACTAGTTTTTAGATCTAACATTATTTATTATTTAATTAATTTATTACAATAACAAAACTATGTTAATAATTAATTATAAGAAATATATAAATATTTGTAGTATTTATATAAAAAATAAAATGCTGATATTGTGAAATTATTGATAACTAATGCACTTGAAAGTTTGGAATTGCAGCTTAGAAATTGCAATCCTGCACCTTAATCAATCATTTGAAATATAATAACAATCTCTCTTATAAGGTAAAGATAAAAAGGACATTTTCAAAATTAATCATGCAACATGTGATTGAGTTTTATTATTTATTATTTTTGTATTAATCAAGAAATCTATTTATACATTATTTTAAGTAAACTTTATTTAACAGTTTTAATTGCATTTTAATTTAAATTTTGTAAAATGCTATATACTAAAATTGTTTTGTTTTATTTTAACAATAATCCTAAAGGCATGTAAAAAACATCACGGTAAAAAATGATTGAATTACAATAAAATTTAATATTTAAAATTGATGTAAAATGTATAATTGAAGTAAATCACATAATTATATAATTATTCACGTACAGTATATAACTTAGCAAAAAGTTAATTAATATATTTAAGTAATGGCTTATTAAAAACATATTTGAAGCCAATGTTATTATTGCATATTCAATCATAAATTAACTCAACATGCTCTGAATTTATTTGTTTTTAGTTTGTATGCCATTTAATTGTTGATATAAACAATTTACATCTACTTTCTTTTATAAAATCAACCGTGATCACCATTCTAATTAACAATATGAAAGCTAAATTAATATTATTAAACAATATATTAATATTGTTCATTTGTCTCATTGAACGCTCGCATTCACAATATAACGATGGCTACGGATATGGCGGCGGGGGTTATGGCGGTGGAGGTTATGGCGGTGAAGGGTATGGCGGCCGAGAGGAGTACGGAGGGAGGAGTGGCTACAATACGGGTGCCAGTGATGAGGAGGCGTACGGCCCCATATTTCATCAAAGACGGTCTCCCGTCGAGGGAGACATTAGTAACAAAGACTTTTGGATGACACGCGGCGGACGGTATGGCCCGCGAAAAGATTCGCCGCCCGAATCGGAACCGTCGGCCGGAGAGCCAGAGAGGCCGCGGAGGAAACCCATTTTGAATTACGCGGCCCTGAATTCGGATGATATGGCCGACGCTAGTAATGGTGGTAAAAGCGAACTCAAGGACAAGATTGACAAAAAAGTGGACAAATTGAAACAGGATATGAAAATTGCGGGCCAAGCGGGCAAAGACTTGTACAACAGCCAAGTGGACGACAGGGTTAAGTCGGACACCCGATTGGATGGCATAAAGAAGTTGCACCCTTTGGATGAGGCGCAGAGACTCGCGAAAGAATCGTATAAAAATATGAAGACATATACGGATCAGTTGGCGACCAAAGTGAAGACAGGGGTCGATTCGTTGCGTCCGCAGCAAAGCCCCGGACGAGGAGGTAGTAGTAGAGGCGGTCAGGGAGAGAGTGGTAGCGCCTATTGGACCCGACCCTTGAAAGATGTGAGAGAGTACGGGTCCCGAGCGTATGAGTCGGCCCGAGGGGTGGCCGGAAAGTTTGGAGATAAGCTTAATGATGGCATAACCGGTACGCGGCAACAGCTGAGCACTTGGATTCAACCTAAACACCAATTTCACGATTATAGCGCACAAGTGAAAAATGTGTTTGGAGATGATCAAGATGTTGTCGATACCGGTTACTATTAAAGCCATTTTTAATGTTTATGTTATTTTAATTTTACTTTTAAACATTAATTTAGTGAATCTGTATTTTTAAGAATTTTGTTTAAAATAAATATTAGTTATAATTATACGATTTCACCATGTTCATTTTAAATCATGAATATAAAATTAATCTATCTATTAATTAAATAAAGTTAAATAATTTATGTAATTTATGTGGCAAAAATATGATGGTAAACGCAAAACATATTTGAATTTATATTACAGTAAAATAAAAATTTGAATAAAACATAACAAAACTTATAATTGAATAAAAATGCTAATATGTTTAGTTATATTCATAGTTAGTATCAGTGGTTCGTATGGTTACCCATACTATAGTCCATACTATGGCCGACACGATTACGGACACCACAACTATCATCATAACCCTTATCCGTCACATGACTACCAAGACTACGGAGGAAGCAGTGGTGGACAGGGATATGGATTAGGGATCAGTAATTATGCCGCCGGAGCCAACCCGGGCCATCTCAGGGCCCCTCCCCGTGAGCGGAGTAGTCTCGACGGCGGCAGTGAGAGTGTGAGCGCAATGGACGAGTCGGCCGAGCAGTCAAAGTTGATAACAATGTTAGCGGTGGGGGGTATTGGCGCCGCTCAACGAATGCGGCGAGACTTTCATCCCTACGACGACACCAAACAATTTTTGATGGATTATTACGAGAAACTCAAGGCCTGGTATGAGAGTGTGACAGGCAATAAAGGGTCGCAATCGCCCCAACCAACCGGTGAGCCCGTGTCCGGCATTCCCATTGAACGCGAGACGGCGCCCGTCAAGCAAAGACGACCCAAATCATTTTCTGCTAATTTATATGGTGATTATGATTATTAATGTTGTAATCTGCAAACTTGATCCAATGTAGTTATTGTTATTATGTTTGTTTTTGTTTAAATTTAAGTGTTATACCATTTTGCTTTATTTGTGATTATTGTTTAATTTATTAATTGTATAACAGTAAAATAACTTAATCAATAAAATTTAACTTAAAGACAATAACACTTCATTGAAGATATTTGGTATAACTATATAAATAATTAATTTAAAAACATATCTTATATATTATTGTGAGTTTTATTAGCTTTATAACAATTTATATTATAAATTGTAAATATTAATTTACAAATCAATATATTTATAAGACAATGAAAATTAAAATATTTTTATTGATTTATTGCATTGAATTGACGTATTGACGATATATTGGATATCATGACAACTACGGCCATTACGACTATGACTTAGGATACGACCACTACAGACCACACTACGGGCGCTATGGACTGGCCAATGATCATCACATGTACGGGTACGGGCAGCCCAATGATTATCACAGATACGGATACAATGGATACGGTGTGAACAATGATCATCACAGCCACGGCCACCGATTAGATAGTGATCATTACAGACACGGATATGACAGATACGGTCCGCATAGACGAGTCCACAGAGTGCCCCGTAATCATCACATATACGGGTCCGGAGATGTCAGTGCCCACGACAGGCACGGGTACGGAGGGGGTCATTACGAGAGCCCACGCGAGCCAGAGATCAGATCGTTCTCGAGTTTAGATGACGGCGGAGTGATTGCCGTCAGTGTTGGCGATGAGGCCGCGGATAAGACCCGAGCGATGTCTGTGGCGGCCATAAGTGGCGGCGCGGCGTTAAAGCAATCGTGGCGTGACTTTAATCCCATTGAAAGTGCTAAACAAAACACAATTAGGACGTATCACGGCTTGAAAACTGCTGAAAAGAGGTTGGAACATTTGTTGGGCCTGGATAAAAATAAGACCGATGAAGATACTAAAAATCATGAAATATATGACCTAAGGGATTTGTTTAATTAAATGCGTCTGGTTGTATAAGTTAATTATAATATTGAATTAATTTAAATATTATATTATTATATTTAGATAAGGTTAATTTCTGTAAATTTATTAATTTATAGTGGTTTGTTTTAATTAAAATTAAAAAATAATTTAATTTATGTTTTTTAAACATTAAATAAATTGTTTTTTGTGGATAAATAATTGAAAAATACTTGTTTTAATTTATATTAAAAATAACAAAAATTACTTTATTAAAAAGTGTTTTAATAAATATGGATTTCTCTAAACAGATTGTTATATAATTTCACACCATTTTAAATGAATTAATACATCAATCAAAATGTCGTTAAAAATATTAGCATTACTGCAAATAACGGCATATATTTTTTGCCAAATTGTGGGCTCAAACGGACAGTACGGCGGCTATGACTACGAGGAATTGTACGGCAACGGGGGTTATAGCAGAGGAGGTCATTACGGCAATGAAGGCCATGGAGGGTATGGCTCCGGTATGAGTCGGCACCGTTACGACATGGATGAGGGGGGCTATGGAGGCGGATATCAACCAAGACATCGACACCAGTCGTCACATATCTATGGCGGCCACAGGAGGCGGGCGTACGAGAGGGCCGACACAGGCGACGAAGAAGAGGATTATGGACACAGACATCAGGCCAGACGTCGACACCAATCGTCACATATTTATGGCGACCACAGGAGGCGGGGCTATGAGAGGGCCGACACAGGCGACGAAGAGGAGGAATATGGACACAGACATCGGGCCAGACGTCAACACCATTCGGGAAGCCAGAGAAGACGGGGCTATGAGAAGGCTTTTCGACACGACTCTCATCACAGCGATGATGAAAGCGGTGCAGAAGAGGGAAATATCATGAATTATTCTAAGCTGTCCCGCGAGGACCTTGATAGAAAAGGTGACGCCCGCTTCAGTGACCCATTGAATCCGTCTGAGATTGTTTACGAAGCTGAAAAAAATGCGCGAAATTATCTACAGGAGTTGGGTATAATGAGCAAGGATAAATATGTTGATAGAAGTCATTATAAGTATGGCTCAAAGCCTGCCAGTAGGAGACGTCGAGCAAAAATATATTGATCATTTTGTTATAAATAATTGTTTATAAAACATTTGTTTTTAACAATTTTCATTAGTATTAATCTTGTAGATTTTTTGTGTTTAAATAAATTAAAAATAATGAATTTTTATGATTTTTCTGTTGTATTTTTTGTTGGTTTCAATTAATTTTAGTGTTATATTTATACGAATACGCTGTGATGTCATTAATTAATAACACATTGATTTGCAATTAATTACATGTAATTATTAATTATGTTTTCATATTCACTATTATTTGTATAACAACATAAATAAATAGTGAAAGCAAATCAAAATGATAAAACAATTGACCA